TAATTTATTTAATACAAATATAATTTTTTGAATAAGGTTATTCAATTGACACGTTTGAGCTTAGGTGGCTATTTAATATATGATTTACTTACCTAAAATAATTAATTAAGAAATAGTATAGTACTAGGTTTTTCCTAACAGCTTGTTTGGATGGTTGTTACCTATTTGTATTGTACTGTTATTTTAAATATAACGTTTATTTTGATTGTTACTTAAATTTTATTGTATCGTATTATTATATCCTTCATTACGCAACGATAAAAAATGCCAATTTATGTAACGATCGATCGGTGTGGCCGCATCGTTACTTTATTTTTTTCCTCTCATTTTGCACTTTCTTATTATTAAATATTATATTTTATCATTTAATTATCTTTTTATATAATAATTTTATCTCGTATGCTACTTTTTCTTTATAGTATTAGAAGTTTATTCTTCATATTATTAGCAAAACATTATAAAGTGAACGAGAAATAAAACAATCTATCCAAATATTTCATCAAAATAATACAGTGCAATATAATATGATCAGTACGATATGTAACTAACCATCCAAATAAGCTTTTAAAGAGTAAGCTAGAAAATTAATCCAAGCATTGTGAACGTAACACGTCTAGTAGTATAGAGAAATTTCCAGAACTCACGAGAAGAGAAACTCAATTCGCCACCTCTCCCACAAAAAGAAATTCATTCCAATTACACCGTCTTTAATCTCCAATCGGTGGTTTTTTCATGTAAAATCAAGAAACTTCTAGAGACTCTCCAAAAGGAACCAATCAATCAACTCTTTATACCCTTATCCCTTTTCTATCTCCATATTCCAATTACTTGATTTTTCTCTACCAAAAAAAAAAGTATCAGCTCTTATTACTTGATTATTTACTCTTGTTTGTGTGATAATTGTTCGTTTTGAGCTCAGATTAATGGCTGGAAAATGTGAAGGACCGGCGATCGGAATTGATTTAGGGACGACGTACTCGTGTGTTGGTGTATGGCAGCATGATCGTGTTGAGATCATAGCGAATGATCAAGGGAACAGAACGACGCCGTCTTATGTTGCTTTTACTGATACGGAACGGTTGATTGGGGATGCTGCTAAGAATCAAGTTGCCATGAATCCTACTAACACTGTCTTTGGTAAGCTTGCCTTGGCCTTCTCGTATTTTTGATATATTAGTATTTTCTAAACTTATGGTTTTGGAATTCTATTCATTTTAAGTTAGAGGTTCTAAATTAATAATTTAGATATATATTTAATGAGTTTTTAAACAAATACAGCTTTTGAATCAAAGCTACTGGCTTTGGCCGAACTCGCTCACAACACTTTAGCTCCGCCCCGGGTATTTTGATATATTGGGAGCAACATGAATGTTAACTCTTTGCGAAGATGTCAAATTTGTGTGGTTTGCGAGTTATAGAGCCGTATATTTGATTTTTTGATTTGAGCCTGCAGAAATTCTATTTTGAAGAGACAAAAGAAGTTTATCGAAATAAAAATGAATGTTGTATGTACCTTAAGAACCATTAGTAGTGTTAAATTTAGCTCAAATAAGTGCAATCTTCCTAATCGGACACGGATTGGTTGAAATTTTGTAAGAAACTCTTGCTGAACAATTTTATTTGGAATTGGTAATTATTGAAGCAGAATGAACTAATAAAAAGATAATTTTGAGTTAGGGTATATATTGTTTGGTATTGATGTATGCTTTCAACAAGATGAATCATTATTCATCTATTGAATTAACGCCCAACACCCCAGGACAGTTCTGTTAATATCAAATTTAGGTCTGTGTATTTGGATTATGCTTGTGTTGGGAAAATAATTATTTGTATAGCGTGTTTAGATGAAATTAATAAACCAAACAATTAAAATATTTATTTGAGTTGATAATTTGGAGTACTGTAATATTCGTATTTGCCGTTGTAAATGCCAAGTTGAATTTGAATCCTTATTTTTATGAATTAGATTCTGTCGTCTTTTAACTATTTCAGTTAGTACAATTTAATCATATGTGCATTCAGGCTAAGCTCCTGTTGTATTTGATTGCAGATGCCAAGCGATTGATTGGTAGGAGATTTAATGACCCCTCAGTGCAAAGTGACATGAAGCTGTGGCCTTTTAAGGTCATTCCCGGCCCTGCGGACAAGCCCATGATTGTTGTCAATTACAAAGGCGAAGAGAAGCAATTTTCTGCAGAAGAAATCTCCTCTATGGTCCTTGTTAAGATGAAGGAGATAGCAGAGGCTTTTCTTGGAACAACAATAAAGAATGCTGTTGTTACTGTGCCTGCCTACTTCAATGACTCGCAACGTCAGGCTACTAAGGATGCTGGAACTATTTCTGGCCTCAACGTTATGCGTATTATCAACGAGCCTACTGCTGCTGCGATTGCTTACGGGCTTGACAAGAAAGCAGGCAGTTCAGGGGAGAAGAATGTGCTTATTTTTGACTTAGGTGGTGGTACATTTGATGTCTCACTTCTTACTATTGAAGAAGGGATTTTTGAAGTGAAGTCTACTGCTGGTGATACGCATCTTGGTGGGGAGGATTTTGATAACAGGATGGTGAATCATTTCGTTCAGGAATTCAAGAGGAAGCACAAAAAGGACATTAGTGGAAATCCTAGAGCTCTTAGGAGACTAAGAACTGCTTGTGAAAGGGCGAAAAGAACACTCTCATCCACTGCTCAGACTACTATTGAAATTGATTCTCTTTATGAGGGTATTGATTTCTATACGACTATTACTCGTGCTCGGTTTGAGGAGCTTAACATGGATCTTTTCAGAAAATGTATGGAGCCTGTTGAAAAGTGTTTGAGGGATGCCAAAATGGATAAGAGTGGGGTTCATGAAATTGTTCTTGTTGGTGGCTCGACTAGGATTCCAAAGGTGCAACAATTATTGCAGGATTTCTTTAACGGGAAGGAACTTTGCAAGAGCATTAACCCTGACGAGGCTGTCGCGTATGGTGCTGCTGTTCAAGCTGCAATCTTGAGTGGTGAAGGAAATGAAAAAGTTCAGGACATGTTGCTGTTGGATGTCACTCCGCTTTCGCTTGGTCTTGAGACTGCTGGAGGTGTTATGACTGTCTTGATTCCGAGGAACACCACAATTCCAACTAAGAAAGAGCAGGTGTTTTCTACCTATTCGGATAACCAACCAGGAGTGTTGATTCAGGTGTACGAGGGTGAGAGGGCGAGAACTCGAGACAATAATTTGTTGGGTAAATTTGAACTCTCAGGTATACCTCCTGCTCCTAGGGGTGTACCTCAAATCACAGTCTGCTTTGATATTGACGCTAATGGTATCTTGAACGTCTCTGCTGAGGATAAAACCACCGGACAGAAGAACAAGATTACAATTACCAATGACAAAGGAAGATTGTCCAAGGAGGAAATTGAGAAGATGGTGCAAGAAGCAGAGAAGTACAAGGCAGAGGATGAGGAACACAAGAAGAAGGTAGAGGCGAAGAATGCGCTGGAGAACTATGCCTACAACATGGGGAACACTATTAAGGATGAAAAGATTGGTTCTAAGCTAAGCCCAGACGACAAGAAGAAGATTGAAGATGCTATTGATCAGGCGATCTCGTGGCTCGAGGGCAACCAGCTGGCGGAGGCCGATGAATTCGAAGATAAGATGAAGGAGCTTGAGAGCATATGTAACCCCATTATTGCAAAGATGTACCAGGGTGGAGGTGCTGGTCCTGATATGACTGGGGGCATGGATGAAGATGGTCCTTCTGCTGGTGCAAGTGGTGCAGGTCCTAAGATTGAGGAAGTTGATTAAGTTGAAATCTAGTTCATAGTAGTCAATAAAAGATGTAGTTCTACGTCTTTGGTTGTCTGTCTAATATTTTGTTGGTGTGTCTCTGAGCGTTCAAACTTTTCTCCTGTTGTTTTTGGGGTTGTGCTCGACTTTCTATCAAATTTTATCGCTTTTTTGGTATATCGACTGTTTTTATCTTGTTGATCACAGCTAAAAAAGTTGAAGTACACTCGTTTTAGAATGTGGTAAGCTACTGTCTATCAATTGTAGATACTGCAACCAGCAACTACAGACAAAATGAACGAACTCGCAAAGTGCTGAATAAAAATAGTGATTTTTCAGATTTGGTCATAAAAGTCTTTCAGAACGTTTAGATAGATAACTCTTCAAAAAGAAGACAGACTAACTCGCCTTTTAATTCTTCTTTCTATTTATCATATTTCAAAGAGAAGACATGTTCCATGTTGTCTAAGTTAATTTCTTTTGGGGTTAAATGGGAAAAACCAATACTACATGCAAATATGCATTTAGAGTATGCACAGGAACAAAATTAATCATAAAAATTTTTACTAGAAACTTCCACCAGCACAAGAAACCACAAATAGCTAAACCAATACAGGAGAGTTTAACAGAAGTTGGTATGGCTTGAATGCACACAAAGCATATTAAAGAGCGACAACAACCACCCATAAGTGGGGTCTAGGATAGTGTGTGTGCAGACCTTACGCTTACCCTAAGGGTAGAGAGACTGTTTCCGAAAAACCTTTGGCTCAAGAAGATAGAAAAAAAATAATAGAACAGTAACAATACATGCCATAAAGATAGTACCAACAACCTTAGAATCAGAAAAATAGATGGAAAACAATAGCGATATCCAGTAACAATGGCAAGATACTAGGAAACAAAGCATATCCCAAATTTTCTACCTTGTTCAAATTAAATGACTTAGGCTGTGGCATTGCTCTGTAAGATGTGGTAAAGAAAGAAAGTAATTCCTAAGCTTCAATGAAGTTTTTATTTAATACTGGAAAACAAAGATTATTGTACGTCGCTACAATTCCAATTATCTTGATAAAAATTGTTCTTCCTCTCAGGTTACAAAAGATGTATCACATGAATCTTAATGCAGTATGACACTCGTCAGTACTCGGAACGAGAATGCAAAACAAGCTAAAGGTGGGATTCATGCAATGGTTAGTATGTAACAGAAACAGAAGACAAGACCTGAAGAATTGAGATAGAGATTGAAACACAAATATCATTTAATGATAAAACAGTATGAAATTGTAAAAGATACCAATAAAAGATCCAAGACTAGCAGGAACAAAATGGTGTGGACATTGAGGGCATGCAAAAAATCAGCATCTTGTGTCCCATATTGGCTGAAGGGCGGAAAAGAAAAGAATATTTCCTGAAGAATTAGAAGAAAATATAAATACCATTTTCATTGAGGTCAGTAAATAATGACTACTACCTAAGAGAGCTTCCACAAATTTCAAGCCATTGCTTCTGTCAGATCAACGTATGCATGTGTAGTCCAAGGAGAGGGGCGAAGGCACACTAGAACCTCGTGCTCTTCTGGTCCTACACGCTGCTTTGGCACGAGAATTTCAAGCATAGTTCCAGTCTCATCTCCATATGCTTCTAGTTTAGCGTCTTCTGGAATGCGAGTCCTAAGAGGGATTTCTCTGACAAATTCCCCTGAAGGGCAGTGCTCGGGAGCTGGATCTGCTAGCTTGAAAGTCCGGTTTTGCCTTTTAATGATCGGTATACATCCCGTGCTGATACAAGATATCTTCACAATACCATGAGAGATAGTGTTTCTCCAAGTAACTTTGACACTTTTTAGATCGACAAAAGGCATGCTAACAAGTATCAAGAACGCCGTGTCATCTTCATAAATAGTCTTTGCAGCTGTAACTGGACCCGATGCCATTTGCATTGCACCGGAAAATGCTCCTAGCCAGGGTGGGCTAACTGGATGTTGACTATTAGGCAAACAGCAATCGTCATTGTTTCCACCGGAAAATCCATTTTTCTTCCTCTTATTGCAGACAGACAAAATGTTTAATCCTTCTCCATTTACATGGTTTGAAGATCGAGTAGATAGGTTCAGGCCGGAGCCATTTAATAATCTTTCTGGACGGGGAATTGAGTTGCTCTTCAATGCAGGAGGATGCCGCTCAAGCTCAAATTCTGTATTTGGAAGGCACCTCCATGACTCAAAGTCACTGGCTTCAGAAGGAATTGAAAAGTTCATGTCTCGGCCAGTAAGCTCCATCCACTTCTTTTGCTCCTCTTTATCGAGACCTGTAAGATTGGGCGACCTAACAACTTCAATTCCGTGAAGGCACTGAGGGTTGGAAAGACCTCGGTAATGTTTCCTTTGCATTTTGTGAGATCTAACGAAACCTTTATCTGCAGTGAAAGGAAAGGGACTCTCCCCTTGACGCGAATGCCCGTTCATGTAACTCCTCAATTGCATCTTGCCAAGTGCATTTTCAGGCCTGTCCTTGAAAACCCACATGTACATATTCTCCATATCATGCTGAACAAGGAAAACATCCTGCCTCAAATCCGATTTATCATACCGAGATGCCCCGCTACTCTCGCGAATAATTTTACCCTTGGACTTCTCATTCAGAGCTGGCTTAAAGTAAAAAGTGAAGAAAAACCAAGCGCCCCAAATACTATCAAGCCGCTTGGCGCACTTCTTCCCAACTTTTGTGATACTAATATTTGTCTCAACCTCATAATGTTGGGGACCAAGGCCTACATCTAGCATATCACATGTATCATTCCACGACGGAGGAGGAGGACTAGGCTCGAGCGGGAGATTGATATCAGGCGGTTGTAGATGGTTAACAGTCCGGATCAACTCTCTCTCCATTTCATCATGAGAAGACGAACCGGAATCCATGGACAAAAGGGTGGACAAATGATTGCTTTCTATGGTTAAGGTTGTGAGGAGATCTTCACCCATTTTCCCCTTTGTTAGCATTTCCTATTATTCGAGGTGAAGTAAAGGCGTCTCTAGCCTATAGCAACGGGTTCAGCTGAACCTACTACTTTCAGTTCGAACCAAGTATACATATGGAAAAGGATCTTGAAAATGTATATACATAATATCCGGTATCCAACCGACTCTAAATCCTGGATCCGCCTCTCTGGAACTATAATTCCACCACAACTAATACTCAAAAACATGACCATGACCACCTCCTCAACATATCCATAAAGAATCAAAATACCAAGATTCAATAACCTTGAATCAATTCATAAAAAGAACCATATATAGCATTTCTTTATGCATTTTAAACACACCAAAATCAGAAAAATTACAACTTTATCAAACAATTCATTGTATACCCATTACAGATTTGACTTTTGCAAGAAGATAGCACCAATTCTTGATTCCAAACAATCCTTTGAATCTTTAAAACATCTGTAGAATTTAAAAAATAACAATAATAAGTAAAAAAGAATCGCAGAAAAGTATATACATGCAGAAAAAGTAAGATCCTTAAGGGAAATTTTTTAGAAGAGTATGTACCTGAGAGAATGGTGTGAATCAGCAGCAAAAGATATGGGAATTGAGAAGTAGGCGGTGACGTAAAAGGAGAATGAAAAAGGGTATTGAGAGAGCTTAAAGATAATTTGTTAAGGGTTGATGAGAACGACCTGCACTGGTTACAACCGTTTCAAGGGAGCAAACGCCGTCAAGATAACGGTGACGGTGTACCAGATACAGCATGCCAATTATTAACCTGTCAATTATTATTATTGAAACATATACTAGTATATATATTATTTTATCAATGATAGATTTAATGTTTACTTTTCCTAGCCAATATACAGAGATTATATATTGATTATACATATTTATACATATATTAATATATAAATTATACATATATTATACATCCGCTAACTATTTTAAATTTAAAAAATTAAATAAACGGCTATTTGGGTTAAATCTTCTAAACACTCGCCCTTCGGATGTTCTTCCTTTTCTCCTCTAGGGGTTGTTTGATAATTAAGATTATGATCAGAATAAACAACAACAACAACCCAGTAAAATTTTACTAATGGGGTCTGGGGAGGGTAGTGTGTACGCAGACCTTACCCCTACCCCGAAGGAGTAGAGAGGCTGTTTCCGAAAGACCCTCGGCTCAAGAAAACAAAAAGACAAAAGATAAATTTAATCTCGAATTTTATTTATGATCATAATAAATAATTTAATAATTTAGGCATATTAATTAGAGCTAATATTCACAATCAAACAACAGATAAATTTAATCTCGAATTTTATTTTGGATTAACGCCCTAATCCCCGTTACCAAACGGCCCATAAGAAAAATGGCAATGAATAAATAATTATTTTTAAGAAATTGAAATTTTACCCTTTTTTTTTTTTGGAAAATACTCAAATATTGCGGTTTTATATTTATTTCTTGTGCAATATCATTTGAAATGTAAGACAAGATAAATTTAATTTTGCAAAGTCTTTTTCCACCTTTGAGATTTGTTGTTAAGAAAGAGGTATAGTATCCTTAGTAGTACTTTCTTTTTTAAAAGTAGAGTAGTACGGTAAGAAAGAATGTACATTTGACTTTACCATTTTCGTTTATAATTATCAATTTTTTTGTTCCATTTCCTTTTCATGGAATTTAAGAATTAGTCAAGGACCGACAAAAAGTTTGGTAGCTAAGCTGCAAAATAATCTATAAATATGTTACTTTAACATTAAACAAAATGATTCTTAAGCCTGAAAACAAATTTGTTGTTGTTTATTACGAAAATATAAAACGTAAAAAATATAAATTAAAAATTCCAGTCAATATAAATATAGTTATTTCGAAGTAATAACATTGAGTGTTTGGTATTACTTATTTTTTACATGATAATTTCAATAAATACATAATTTAATATAAATTTAAAATCAACTCTATGAATAGGAGAAAGAGAATAAAAATATGATTAAAATAAAAGCAGAAGAAATGTATAGTAGAAATAAAAAGAAAAAGGAAAAAGGAAAAAAATATTAAACTAATGAGGGATAATTTGGAAAATATAAATCATTGTAAGGTTAACTTTATTTTGAATAAATTAATTTTCCACTTCTGCTTATTGGGAGATGCTAGAATTTGTAGCTTCTTCCCAAAAGCATAAAATTTGCTTCTGCTGTTGTTCAAAAGTACTTTTTCACTTTAACCGAACATCTTAAATAATTTAAAAAGTATTTTTTTAACAAAATAAAAAATAGTTTTGGCTCCATAAAAGCTTGGCCCAGCAGACTCTAAGTCTCCTAAGTAGTTTATTTTAGTAAGAGCCCGTTTGGCTTAGCTGATTTAGAGTAGCTGATAAACATTAGGTGCTGAAAAATATTTTTAAGTGTTGAAGCTGATTTAAAAAATAAGCAATTACGTGTTTGGATAAAAGTGCTGAAATTAATAATAAACAACTGAAGAACTAGGTATACGAAGAGTTCTGTTTTTCTTTTTAAAAAAAAGTATTTTAGGGATAGAATAGTAAATATTTTGGTCAAACCTAAAGTGCTTATAAGCTGAAATTTGATAAGTTGGGGTACGAACTTATGACTTTTGGCTTATTTTTGGCTAATAAGCACTTTTAATTTTACCAAACGCATAGATAAGTCAAAAAGTACTTATAAACTAATTTAACCAGCTTATAAGCTTAGCCAAACACCATGTGAGATAAATAACAAGTAGACAGTACAAGTTGGGGGTTTGAAGATATGACGTAGAGAGATGGAATTGAACTTATCAAGATAAGAGAGAGAGAATTGAATGAATATAATCAAGAATTCAAGGGACAGCTCAATGTTAGAAAATCAAAGGAAGCAAAGTGGAATGGTCCTCCAAACTTTATTGTGTTCCCATATGAATAAGTGGACTTCCCTATCTTTTCTTTTTCTTTTATTAATTAAAGTTCTCTTCTCTCCCACTCTTTCTTTCTTTCTTTTTCTTTTTAATTGGAAGAGGGAAATTTAGGCCCCATTTGGCTTCTTTTTCTCTCTTAAAAAAATAAGATGTTGAATTTGATAAGTACATATATGATTATTAAGATATCATTTTTAATAATGGTTAATCAGTGTTTTTTTTAACAGCATCTCAATTTATATTATATATCCTCATCAATAAGAGTTGTGAGTTGGGATTGACCTTGGCAGGTGGTAGTTGGTCGTACATAAGGGCAAAGGGACAAGTCGGATCGGATATATGAGGATTGAAAGTGGTTAATGAAAAAATAAACAAATTATCCATTTGTACAAAGGACATTCTCTTAAATTAAGGAAAAAAGAAGGACGTTTTTTGGCATTATATTAATTGTTTACTTTCATCATTTTAGCTCTATTCAATGTTAGCGCAAATTACTAGTAATAAAATGGTGTTACGCATGGTGAGGGCTGCACTGAGCAACCAAAGGGGTGTCGGTTCTTGCGGGAAAATTACACTATATAGCTCGGTAATTTTTTTGTTAAATATGTATATATGCTATATAATGACACCCCTTGACTTTTTGATGAGTTTATTTCTTTATATTTTGACTCTCCTTAATGAAAATCGTGGCTCCGCCACTGACTATGAGTCTAGGATTAATTAAGAAACACTATAAAGTGTTTGTTTGGTTTACATACTAGTTATGCCGGAATTTTAAGGCAAAAAAAATATAAGGAGATTATTTGGTTTACATACTATTAATTACGTGGGAATTTAATGCAAGAATTATGCAGAGATTGTTTGGTTTAACCTACTAATTAATTACACGGGAATTTTAATGCAAGAATTGCTTATGCGGCTTATATTTAGGGCTTTTTCATATCGGAAAATATATTTGGCCAAACCAAGAATGGCTCAAACGTCCCAAATGGGGGTATAATGGTAACTTCGCACGGCTTTTGAGGGCATAATAGATATTTGCGTATTTTCGTTTTCCATGTATACCCTTTGGCAGATTTTTCGTTTTAAATTAATTTTTTTCAACAATTCTCTCTCACTAATTTAATTGTCTTACCTTCCCAAGATGCATGCTTCATCAATTTCTATAAAGCACATATACATATAATACTAATTAAACGAAATACACTAAAATTTACATATACTATACCAATTAATCGAAATACACTAAAATATACAGATAATATATTAGAGGAAATACGTTTAAAAATTAGAAAAGATACGTACAAAAAATTAAACTACTAAAGTGGTCACTTTCTAGCCCTAAACACTTAATATATTTGGCCGAACCTAAAAAGCTTTTCCAGCCCCCTTTTTTCTATCTTTGTTTTCTCCTTCTTCATCTCTTATCTTTCTTAGGGTTAGATTAAGGAATGGACCACAGGAAGAGGAATAATGCTTTTCGAAAGTTTATGTAGTGTTTCGTGGTAAGAGACCTGGATTGTGCAACTCCTGGCATCGGTGTGCTCCTATGGTTATTGGTGTCAAGGGCAGCATCTTCAAGGCCTTCAAAATGTATGATGAAGCCATAGCAGCTTTTAATGAGTTTAGAAATGGATCTCAACCTGATAATATATCGGCATCGAAGGTGTATGTGGTATTTCGTGGTAAAAAGCCAGGATTATACAACTCTTGGTGTGAGTGTGCTCCCTTGGTTATAGGTTTCAAAGGAAGCATCTTCAAGTCTTACAAATCTTATGATGAAGCAGTAGCAGCATTCAATGAATTCCAAAAAGAAAATGTTTACAGTGAAGAACAATCTTCAAGTTCGTGTGTTGATGAAAGTGCTATGTCATCTGTGTTGTTAGCTGGAATGTTTGTAGAGATGAAAATTTCAAAAAAATGTTCAGTTTGATTATTGTTTATTTTGGTTATTATCAGTTTGATTGTTTAGTTTGATGTGTTACTGGTTGCCGCATTCAATCTCTGTAGAATAGATGCCAAAGCCTTTGTCTTTTGTACTCCATGTTGGAATGAAATAAGAATATAATTTTTTTTAAAATATTTTGAAATGAACTGAATGTTTTAATTTGTCTATATTGCTGGAACCTTGTAAGTGCCAAAGTGTTATCATTTTGAACTTGTTTTAATCCCTACTACATTGATTCATAAGCACTCAACTATCTTCAAGTACTCATCAACTATCTCCATGAGTTCAGTATGTGCTATATTTTGCATCTTGAAGTACTAAACTATCTTCATAATTATTGACAATACATTTTCCTATTTGTCCAGTGTTGTTGTCATAAGTTGAATGTGCTATATTAATTTGAAAAATAAATTGACCAATTTTAGAGTACTTAATTAATCTTTACAAATGTTATTATTAGTACTTTCATTTCATTAGGCATCAAACGAACAGTTAGAATATTGAAGACAATAGGACTGTTTTGTTAACTTTAATCAAACGATCATTATGCCTCGTTGTTTTTAGAAGGGTTTTCTATACCCTTTTGTTGTATCATCTAACTCTATTCTTGCTAATACAAGACCCCAGGTAATCTGGAAAAAGTTCATAAAAAAATATAAAATATAAAAAAGATTCAAAACATATAATAATAATAATTTCCTTCATTAATACGACATTGGGTGATAACATCACCAATACATAACTTGAAAAATAAAAACATCAACATAGGGACCGGGGTAGAAAACTTCATAGACGAACAAACACATAATAAA